CTAAGTGAAGCGTGACCCGCTGTTAGTCACCAGAGTTTGGTTTTCCACCATGTGCAGATGGGCGAAATTAAACAAAACCAACATCGAGTGTCTAATTACGTTGTTGTGCCACCACTAGAACAGTTGAGTCTTTCCAATCGGCTGGAGAGTGAAACTAAAAGATATCCCCTGATTTTGGTGTTTCGATGTTGGTCGTGGAGAACATTGTCCAACACGTCTGTTCACAATCATACTCTAGGTGATCACTTGTGACTGTGAAGGTCACAGAATGATTCACATCATTTTCATAGTCATTAAACCAAGTCTGGTCGATAATGATGACGGCTGATGACACTTCATTACTAATAACTAGCAACCGGAAGAAAACCTCGTGTCACTTTCATGCGTCGAAAACTGACATAAAAGCACATAATGAAAACGTACTTTTCAGTTGCATGAACAAACTCCAAGCCTAGAAAGCAGTTTATTACAGTCTTTATTAATTATCTTGCTTTCTTTATTTATTGTGTTTCTACTAAAGTGGTTAAATTCAAAGTCGGTCAAATCAAATTCAACTTTATTTCTCAAGTCCTTAATAAAAATAGGTGTCACCATAATGCAAACATATTACTGTGGTGAGTTCTTTCAGCTGTGTCTAAACCAAACCACTTCTGGAAGAGACCACCAGCAGTAAAACAGAACCACCACATCCCCTCGTTGTAGAGGTTCAAGGGTTCAGGTTGTTCCTTTAGTTTGTCGCCTATCTGTAGCCCTGATGATGCAAGTTGGCAGCAACCAGAACTAAAAAGAAACCATGTGTTATTTTCTCCTTGGTCCAGACCAAATGGACTGAACCTTGCCCTTCGTGTGCACACTCCCCTGTTTGGAGTATCTTTAGTCAGTTTTCCAATGTGAACTGCAGATTTGCGTGGAATTAACGTGCAATATGAAAGTAGGGCACAGATAATAGGTGGTTTTATGTGATGACTTCATGCCGCTGCGGTGGGCGTTTCTTAAAGATCCAGCTCATAAAGTAGCGAGCGATTTTTCATCAGTCCCACCTTCCTACCAGATCAAACCGCCTTCATCCCCGTGACTAATGACCCGTTGGTTCACCCTTGAGATTGATCCCTCACTGTCCTGCTTCAATGGGAAATGTGTCACTTTAACCCCCTGAACTCCAAAGAGTTTCTGGGCATTTCTTTATTCCTTTTCCCTGAAATATAAAATCCTGCACCTCTATGGAAACAGCACAACCGTGACTAGAAGTACAGAGACCTCAGGAATGTCTATTGTGCAGTGAAACAACTTTAAAAAGCCATAAATCATTAAAAAAAAGAAGTTTAACTTCTTTTATTATTTATTTTACAGTTATTGAAATACATTTTTAAATCCCCACAGATGTTACCAATACTGAAAAATAAAGGTTGCTCCATGCTATAGCTATTATACAACCTCTACAAACTGTTTTTCACCCTGCTGTACATAGACTCTAGAAAGATGTTTCACCGTGTTGAATGTATCTTCCAACCACTTGCTCCTCTGTGTACCATTTTTGAGCCATGCTGCATTTATTTTATTGCTCGCGTATTTTTTATTTTCGCTTTAACTTATTTCCGTGCTTGTCTCCTCTCAGCGCTGTTTAAACACAGCCTTCAGTTCAGCAAAAAAAAAGTCTGTGAATTTTTGTCCCAGCTGAATCACAAAAAGCTTCAGCATTGTGTTTGTTTTTTTACAGAATCTGTTCAGTGCAAAAAAAAAATGTACCGTCTCTGAATTTTTGCCCTGTGGCTGTTGGTCACAAACATGTAGTTGCACTGAGGAATTCAGAATTTATTTTTTATTTTTTGCAGAATCTGGCACAACGGTTTATTATTGCCAAGTATTTTTAAAAGCGTATGTGGAGTAAAGCAATTTTGGTGAAATGTCACAATTTTACGGATGGATTTTGTGGGTTTTTTCCTGACAGAACTTTACGTCACACATTAATTCA